CAAAAGGGCTGAACCAGTCAGCATTCCCACCAGCAGTGAAGGAGGGTCAATTTCTCGCCCCATCCACGCCAGCACCGGTTACTTTTGTTCTTTTGGATGTGGGCCAGTCTCTGTGGTGTGAAATGATATCTCATATTTGTTTTGATCTGCATCTCCCTGATGATTAATGATGTAGAGTATTTTCTCATGTGCCTCTTTGCCATTGGGATTTCTTCTTTGAGAAAGTTTCCGTTCATTTTGTCACCTCATTTTTTGATGGGGTTCTATTTTTTCTTCTTGTGGAATTCAACCAGTCCTTTGTATGTCCTTGATATCAGCCCATTGTCGAATGTGTATTTGGCAAATATCCTTTCCCATTCTGTAGACTGTCTTTGTATTTTGGTCACTGTTTCTTTGGAAGTGCAGAAGCTTCTTGGTTTAAGATAGTCCCGTTTATCTATCTCTCTTTTCACTTGCTTGGCCAGTGGCGTGGCATCTTTGAAGATACCATTAGCTTCAATGTCATGGAGGGTTTTGCCAACTTTGTCTTCAATGTACCTTATGGATTACGGTCTGATGGTGAGGTCTTTAATCCATTTCGATCTTACTTTTGTACATGGTGTTAGGCAGAGATCTAAGCTCAGTTTTTTGCATGTAGTCGTCCAGTTTTGCCAGCACCATTTGTTAAAAAGGCTTTCCTTACTCCACTTCGCATTTCTTGCCCCTTCATCAAAGATTAGATGATCATATGTTTGAGGGGAGATGTCAGTATATTCAACCCTGTTCCATATGTCTGCAGCTCTGCCTTTGTTCCAGTACTTTGCTGTTTTAATTATTACTGCTTTGTAGTAGAATTTGAGGTTCGGGAGGTTAATTCCTCCCATTTTCTTTTTCCCAAGAAATGCTTTAGCTATTCCAGGGGGATTATTGTTCCATATAAATTTCAGGAATGTTTGCTCCATTTCTTTGAAGAATGTCATGGGTATCCTAATAGGAATCGCATTGAATATGTACAGTGCTTTGGGAAGTATTGCCATTTTGACTATATTAATTCTCCCGATCCATGAACAGGGGATATTTTTCCATTTCCTCGCATCCTCTTTCATTTCCTGAAGTAGCGTTTTGTAGTTTTCTTTGTGCAGGTCCTTTACTTCCTTAGTTAAACTAATTCCTTGGTAGTTGATTTTCTGGAGTTCAGTTGTAAATGGGATTGTTTTCTTCATGTCATTTTGTTCTCTCTCACTATTTGCGTATAGGAAAGCCATGGACTTTTGGGTATTGATCTTATAGCCTGCAACTTTACTATACAAGTCTATCGTTCCTAGGAGATTCTTGGTAGGGGTTTTGGGGTTCTCTAAGTATAGTATAATATCATATGTGAATAGTGAGAGCTTGATATCTTCCTTCCTATTCGGATGCTCTAAATCTCTTTTTCTTGCTTAATCGCTATTGCTGTATTTCCAGTACTATGTTGAACAGTAGTGGAAACAGTGGGCATCTTTGTCTAGTTCCTGATCTTAGGGGGGAGGCTCTCAGTGTTTCCCCATTGAGGATGATGCTTGCTGTAGGCTTGTGGTAGATGGCTGTAACTATATTGTGGAAAGTCTCTCTATCCCCATTTTGGCACGGGTTTTCATCATAAACGGTTGCTGGATCTTGTCAAATGCTTTCTCTGCATTTATTGATATGATCATATGATTTTTATCTTTTCTTTTGTTGATATGATGGATTATGTTGATTGATTTCCGAATGTTAAACCATCCTTGCATCCCCGGGATGAATCCCACTTGGTCATGTTGTATGATCTTTTTGATGAGTTGCTGAATTCTATTTGCTAGTATTTTGTTGAGAATCTTCGCATCCGTGTTCATCAGGGATATCGGCCTCTAGTTTTCATTTTTTGTAGTGTCTTTGTTTCCGTTTGGCATTGGAGAGATATGGGCTTCATAGAAACTGTTTGGGAGAGTTTCTGTTTTTTCAATTTCTTGGAAAAGCTTGAGAAGGACTGGCAGTAGGCCCTCTTTAAATGTTTGGAAAAATTCGCTAGTGAGTCCATCTGGACCTGGGCTTTTGTTTTTGGGAAGACTTTTATTTACAGTTTCAATTTCCTTGATGTTAATAGGTCTATTCAGTATTCCATATCCTCTTGACTCAGCGTTGGGAGATTTTAGGAATCCGGGAATTTATCCATTTATTCTAGGTTCTCTTGTTTCGTTGTATATAGAGTTTCTAAGTAGTCTCTGATTATCCTTTGAATTTCTTTGGTTTCTGTTGTGATATCCCCATTCTTATTTCTGATTCGGTTTATTAGGGTTCTCTCTCTTTCTGTTTCTTTGTGAGTGTTGCTAGTGGTTTTTCTATCTTATTTATTTTCTCGAAAAACCAGCTCTTGGTTTCATTGATCTTTTGGATTGTTTCTTTGGTTTCCATGTCGTTGATTTCTGCTCTAAGTTTGATGATATCTTTCCTTCCGCCTGATTTGGGCTCCTTCTGTTGATCCTTTTCTAAGATCTTGAGCTGTGAAGTCAAGTTGTTTATGTGCATCCTTTCCTCCATCCTGAGATATGCTTACAGAGCTATAACTTTTCCCATTAATATGGCTTTAGCTATTTTGTATGAAAAATAGTTCTTTATTGCTATAAGTGCTATAATTATTTGCATACTAAACAAATTTGATTCATCTATTGCAGTTAGAAAATATTTTCTTCAGGAGCTGAAGCAATTGTATAGCAATAAAACACTTTCCTTGTATGTGACCCCCCACATTAACAAACAACTCAATTTAATTGAACATACAACAAGAATTTAATAAGAAGGGTTTAAATCTTGGAATGGAATGAACACAATTCTTTACTAACAGATAATATGTACACATAGAAATTTAAAGAACCTCTCTAATTTTATTGCGATTTATAAAAATAGCTAGGCTCTTTGAATGAATTTTAGTGTCAATAAATAAAAATTGATGTTATTTACAAATACTTACACAAAAGTAGACTAATTCTAAAATACAATTTAGAATAAGAGATACAGAAATAAATATATGAAAAATTAATGTATACTCCATTGCACTAAAAATATGTATCATTGACGAGACAATTATATTCCAGTTGTTTGGGGTTTATTGTTTTGCTATGCTTAAATGCCAGGAATGCATATAGGACCTCATACTGAAGTTTGTCCTGTTTTATATCTGGATAAAGCCATGGCTCTACTTGATTAAAAACAATTTTGAAGATTTAAATCTAAGCAAGATAGTATCCTAGTGACCATTGGGAGACATTATGCATCGAAGACACAATTCTCCTCTACTTGACTTGGAGATTCATTGCAATTCAAACCAAAAATTCAGTATGTGTGTTTTAGTGAGAAATGGAATATAAAATGTGTACGAATAAATAAAGTTCCTATAGTAGGTCCCAATCTGGATAGATAGAGGGAGAAAGTTAGAGTTGTGATGTAAAATTGAGTATGATACTATAATCATGAATACTTCAATTCAGTAGATTAAAAACTCCCACACCTGGGGCTGGAGCAATAGTACAGTGAGTAGGGCATTTGCCTTGCAAGTGGCCGATTTGGGTTCAATTCCCAGCATCCCATATGTCCCCTGAGTACCGCCAGAAGTAATTTTTGAGTGCAAATCCAGGAGTAACCCCTGTGCATTGCTGGGTGTGACACCTAACCCCCAAAAAACAACCTCCCACACCTATATTCTCATCTTATTCCAGACAAGAATAAGGGTGCTAAAATTTGCTGAAAAAAAAACTCAAATGAGTCAATTAATGTTAGTAGTACAATGGCTTTTCAGTGAATAAAATGAACAAATATTCTATAGCACACCATCAGCACACACTATCTTCCAAATAACAAGCAGAAACTACTAAAAAAATTCAAATTCTAACCATATAAATAATATTTTAATAGAATTTTCCTTGTATTTTATGTACATAAGTCAACTTTTATTATGTTTTCAAAAGAGACTATTTGAATGCATTATTTGAGAAGAAGTGCTTAGTTTCTTCTTGTACATTGATGTTTGATGGTGTTCTCAGATGATGCGGAAATGGATAGAATAGATATTTTGAAAACTAAGTATAGGTAAATGTTACATATTCCCCTTCGCTCATTTATGATGGCTTTTTTCCATGATTTTTATTTATTTTATCCAAAAATTTATTTTCTACTTTGAAAGCGAACTTTACGTACTCATTCTCTTTTCTAAACTTATATGCTGCTAAATACATGCAGGAAGCTTTCTATTCTAACATAGTAGCGTATTTGTGGAAGTAGCTTTTCCTCACTTGAGTGATCTGTTCCACTTCTTAGCAAAGGAGTCTTTTAAAGAATATTTTTATATATCGTTTTATTTATTCTTTCATTAATTTTCCCATTTAAAACTGGTATCTCTGAGAATCTCACTGATTATTCCTTAAAACACCCCTTCCTTATGAGTGCAAATAGGTGCACTACATCTGAAATGGTAAAGTAATGGAGATAATGAGGCTTTACAAGGGTGACATTACTATATGTGAATTAAAGCTAAAAGAAGTTGAAAAGCATTGATGTAAATTCAAACAACCAATGAGTGCTGATTGTCAGAGGGTTTTGATCAGTTTCTAAACATCAAGTAATATCTAAGAGGACAGCAGAACTTATTGAAAATAAGTCACCTATGCATATTTTTACATCACCCTCACATAAAAATTGTAAGTCACTAACCTGATTGGTTTTAAATTAGCAAAGCTTCATTTATGTTACTCTCAAACTTCTTAATCTTAATCTGTTGTATTTACAACAGATCACAAAGTTCAGTTTAGGTATTTTTGATACTTTATTACCCAACAGTATATAAACACAACGTTCCCATTCAATGTTTGTGATCATCATTTTTGATTTACTGAAATTTCCTGATAGGTTACATTGTGAATGCCCGAAAGAATTGAAATTCTCTCCCAACAAAGAATATATAAATGTCATCCACACAGATATGCTTTATTTCCCTTAAAAACCTTTCTTACGGCTGACTTAACGGCTTTATTTCTCAGGCTATAGATCATTGGATTGAATGTTGGTGGAACTACTGTATACATAACAGTGAGAAAAATGTCTGACACAGTTGGAGTCTCTGAATGGGATTTTAAGTACTCAAAGGAAGCTGTAGAAATAAATAATAAGACCACAGTGAGGTGGGGGAGGCAAGTGGAAAATGCCTTGGCTCTGCCCTCAGCAGATGGCATCCTCAGTACAGAATAAAATATGTGCATGTAGGAGAATCCTATGAAGATGATACAAAGAAATCCCACCAAAGCCAGGAAGAAAGTGACACCAACCTCATAGATATAGTCATTAGAACAGGAGAGTTTCAAGATCTGAGGAATATCACAGAAGAACTGGTGAACGATGCGAGGACCACATAATTTTATGGAGAAAGTAGCTGCTGTATGCATGACTCCAGCGATGGTCCCACTGACCCAGATGCCAACGACCCCATGGACACAAGTTCTTACATTCATAATGATTTCGTAGCGAAGCGGCTGGCAGATGGCAACGTAGCGGTCATAGGACATCAGTGTGAGCATGTACATCTCAGCACAAGCACAGAGGGTGAACACCAAGCACTGAAAAACACATTCCCAGAAAGAAATGTTCCCACTCTGCAGGAAAGTGTTGATAATGAATCTTGGAACAGTCACAGAAATATAGCAGAGATCCAGGAAGGAGAGATGCTTCAGGAAGAAATACATGGGGGACTGGAGACTGTCATCCAGGGAAGTTGTGGTGATGATGAGGATGTTGCCAGCTAAAGCCAACACGTATATAAGACCAAGAACAGAGAAGCATAGAATAATTCTAGTTCGGGCTTGGTAGAAAATCCTATGAGGAGAAACCCAGTTGTCGTGAAGTTAGCCATAGTGTTTGTTAACTTCTTAAAGATGTTGTAGCAGATCACAGGTCCTACAAGGATGCAGTACTCCCCAAATTCTGTAGTCTTGTAAAACAATGGTAAATTAAACAAAGCTGTGAATTAAAAAGTAACTATAAAACTTTTTTCATAAATATAAAAACATTAAGTATGTGATAGTGCCTAGCAAATAATCATGATGTAAAAGTCATGGTCACAGTCACGGTCCTCCCGTTGTTCATCGATTTGCTCGAGCGGGCCCAGTAATGTCTCCTTCATGTGACTTGTTGTTACTCTGTTTGGCATATCGAATAAGTCACGGGTAGTTTGCCAGGCTCTGCCATGCAGGCGAGATACTATCGATGTAAAAGTAATACTTGGATTAATCATAATCATCAATTAACTAAAATCCTATGAAGTAATCTGATGTATTTCTTAGTGTAAAATGATTATACGTCCAATTAAGATGTGTACATATATTTTTTGTCATTTAAAATAATTTTAATTTAATAAAAACCAAGAACTATGACTTCTGAAGTAATTTTTATTAAATATATTAAGTTCTTTTGTACACAATATACTCATAATCATTCGATTATTATTTTTATGAAAAAAATCTAAAATATATAATAACATGATCAAGATTGTACATACATTCTGAAAAATGACAGAGTACTTAATAGAAGAAAAAATGGTCTGTAAGATAAAATAAGTTCATTTGCCAATTGACTAGCACTTCCATGTGATTAGTGAATAATCCATGTTTAAGAAAATTTGTTCAGGTCACTGAATGTCTCACAGTGCTAGAATGATGAAGTACTCACGCATGAGTGAGGCTCTCAAATCAATTCCATGCACTGGCAAAAAATAGAGAAAAAAGAACACTAAATTCATTAAAAATTGCTAAAGTAGTAAAAACAGACAAATCCTAAACTGAAATTAATCTAAGACTTTAGAATGTTTTAATATGATGACTATAAGAGGGCAAGAATATTATACCTAGGATATCAAAATGCATAAATTGGGCAGACGCAGCCACTAAAATACTAGAAGAAAATAAGACCGTAACAAGCCATTAGTTCTGTGTAAGGAATATATGATTATGTTTGTGCTGATTAGTAGATTTTCACCTAAATCAGAGACACACACAAAAAATGATTCTGCTTTTAGTTTTTTAAATTAAACTAAAAAAATTCCAAGGATGGGGACTGGAGCAATAGCACAGCTGGTAGGGCATTTGCCTTGCACGCAACCAACCCGGGTTCGGTTCCCAGCATCCCCTATGGTCCCCCGAACACTGCCAGGAGTAATTCCTGGGTTCATGAGCCAGGAGTAGCCCCTGGGTGTGACCCAAAAAGAAAAAAAAATTCCAAGGATGAGACTGTATTGATTTCCAAATATTTATATTTGGAAAACATTCAAGTCTGAACTGGAAAAGAACAGAGTCTCCCATAACTCAAAAACACAGCACATATCCAATTTAATATTTCTGGAAATCAATTCACTCTCATTTTTTTAATTATCTGTATTAGTGTTGCAAGGAGTCATGAAATAAGAACTTTTAATTAAACCAAATCATTTTATATAGATACTGATATAAAAAGTCTTTGAAGATAATGCTTCTTGATATCATAATGCTTAAGCATTCTCTTGCTTTTCCAACTCACCAGGTCAATTTCTGTAGTGTTCAGCAACATCTTCCATATCTATATACTTGGGGGCATGTTGCATAATTTTCTAGATAAAAACCAACAAAAAGAACTTAATTTAGGCACATGGAAATAGTGCTTATTTACCCTAACATCTGCTAGGCACATGGGCGCGTGCCCAGGGGAAAAAAATTAAAATTTAAAATACGTATATAGACCTTGGGCTGGAGCGATAGCACAGCAGGGAGAGCGTTTGCCTTGCACGAGGCCAACCCAGGTTTGATTCCTCCATCCCTCTCAGAGAGCACAGTAGGCTACTGAGAGCATCCCGCCTGCATGGCAAAGCATGGCAAGTCCTTATGGCTTGGATGCATGCTATTATCTCCCTTAGGTGCCATCTATAGGTCATTCTCTTCTTGGGTGAAATTTCAAAATGCCTCTAGCTATCTGCTTTCAGTATGAATCTCAAATACTTAGTGTTTACTTAAATCAGTGTTTGCATAGTGGACAATGTTATTCTCTGGTCGGCAGGGGCTGAGAGGCAAATATTAAATTTAGAGGGCTCTTGTAGCTTTGGGAGAAAGTTCTGTTTAGTAATACTTAGATTTTGAGGGCTGATTTGCTTTCCAAAAAATGGTGCTGAGGGCCTGGAGCGACAGTACAATGAGTAGGGCGTTTGCCTTGCACATGGCTGATCAGGGTTCAATTCCCAGCATCCCATATGGTCATCTGAGCACCGCCAGGAATGGTTCCTGAGTGCAGAGCCAGGAGCAACCCCTGAGCATCGCTGGGTGAGACCCCCAAACCCCCAAAAAAGTGATGAGTTTTGAGGTTTTTTTGCTGACTTTTTATCTCACAAATGGTTGGCAAACTGAGTAGGTTTTACCTGTCTGGTAGGTGAGGCAGATGATTTTTAAATATAACCAATGTTTCACGATACACTATGAATTTTAACATTATTTTTGTTATTTATACGTTACTCTCCACTTTTAAATATTTTAACCATTCTCATATCCATTGTTGATCTTTTCTTAAATTTCTTTTCTGTCAGAATTCCTTCTACCTCCTCCCACTTCAGTCATATGCTTGAAGTGATTGGATATTAAAAGAAGCCTGATCTCATCAGACTGACCACGTTTACCAGAGTTACCTTTGTTCAAGGAAATGTGGTTATTTGTGGAAAAGAAAATGCGGTCGCCCACACATTATAATTTTTATATTTGTTTCATTCGAACAGTATGCTTGCACTGTCTAACATGGAAAGTATTTCACGAGGTTTGGAAATTAATTTTATAAGCATCCATGAAGTTAAACAATAGAGCAATAACAAATTCTCTCAATTGATCCACACATTCACACTGAATTACTTCTTGTTTGTCTATATAAAGAGAGAAACTAGGGATTAGGATTTTAACTCCACCTGGTCATTTCAAAATATGTTGCTTACAATGTTGTCTCCCAGACAGTCAGTTTTCATTGATGTTTCTAGCTTATTCATTTTCTTTCATTTTTCAAATCAAGGACAATGAGATTTTATCTAATCCAGTCAAAAGTATTTAGAAGCATTCCATTGTTCAACCCACTCTGTCTTTCTGGAACTTTGGAACTCACCAGTGTATGGTCAGGAGCCTCTTCCCTCAACATAAGGACAAGCATCAATGTGTGTAATTCACACTTAGTGATGGTTTGATCTCTCAAATGAACAGACCTCAGAAAAATATCTTCTGTGGAGAGAAAAATAATGAGTCCATTTTAATCCTTCGTGGCCCCTAGAGTTTATACCATGAAGTTGTCAGGAGAATAGTCTCTGAATATTTGGAAGTCTTAATAAATTCCCCTGGGCCCGAACTTGAAATTAGATGAGGTTTTCCTACAGAATAATTTGTTGCAGTTGATGTAATGACTGTAGTGAGTCATTTGAGTTTTAAATTGTTTGTACCATAGTAAAAATGTATTGAAAAAAGACTGTATTTAAAAAACGACTTCCAGCTGTTAGGAGAGATGAAGTCATGAAATTTGCCTATAAATGGGTAGATATGGAGAGTGTCATGCTAAGTAAAATGAGTCAGAAAGAGAGGGACAGACATAGAAGGACTGCACTCATTTGTGGAGTATAAAACAACATAACATGATGCTGACGCCTAAGGATAGTAGATACACGGGACAGGAAGATTGCTCCATAGCTGAAAGCCTGCGTCATGATCAAAGGGGAGAAGGCAGCTGGAATAGAGAAGGGATCATTAATAAAATAATGGCTTGAGGAACTCGCTGGGATGAGAGATGTGTGCTGAAAGTAGATAATGGACCAAACATGAAAATATCTCAGTATCTGCATTGCAAAACATAATGCCCAAAAGAATATAGAGAGAGTATGGGGAATATTGTCTGCCATGGAGGCAGGGGGATGGTGGGAAAGATGGGGTGTATACCAGGGATATTGGTGGTGGGGAATGTGCACTGGTGGAGGGATGGGTGATAATTGCGTGATTTTAACCCAAACAAGCATGAAAGCTTGTAACTATCTCACAGTGATTCAATAATATTGAAAAAAAAGACTGCAATTTACATTTTGATTTATGAAGATCTACAGTTAATTTAATAAGTTCAGTTGACTACTGTGGGAAATCTCTCATACTGAATGTGCTGATATGGGTGGTTAAAGAATCCTGCAGGAAACAGTGCTCCCATGGTTCCTATGAAGTAGAAAATAGAGGGAAATTGACACTGTTGGTGGAATTGGTGTTGAAATATTATATACCCAAAACTCAACATTGTAAGTCACAATTCTTTAAAATAAAATTTAAAAATAGTGTTAATTAAAAATGCATTTTCTTGATAAGGTCTATTTGTTTTGTATGCTGTGGCTCAGCTTCAATTCCCAGGACTCCAGATGTCCCCTGAACTTGCCAGGAGTTGAGTGTAGAGCCAGGAGTAAGCCCAAACCACTGCTAGTGTGGTCCCAAAACTCATTTTTTTAAATACATTTGCTTTTGTAAATGAATGGATGCTTTCTGTTGTGTGAAGTCCCAAAATCAAATTACATGCATGACCTCTAGGGCATTGCATTCCTTTTATCCTCATTTTGTGGTGTGCATATCATGGAGAACTATGGGGTTGTCTATTGCTTTGCCCAATGTTTTTCCTTGTTTCATATTGTCTATTTGATGTTCTACCACTAACTTCACTTAATGTGACAATCTCCTGTTCTATCCACATAGCAGGGGAGTGCATTATTTCATCTTACAACTAAATAGTACCTTATTGTGTGTGTGAATATGTGTGTGTGTGTGTGTTGTGTATACCACAACTTATGTCCATTCATC